TATTAGTACAAATTTTTCTTCTCATTGAACTAGGAGTAAGTACCTGTATATCTATTCTAACTAATATATATATTATATATAAATATATATATATCTTTTTTAACTACAAAATGGTCCTTCATTTATGTCCCCCTTTTTGTTTAGTTTTGTCAGAGATGGGTATTCCATTTCCACTTAAATATTGTAAGTGCATGAATTCAGCAAAATAGTCCAATGTAGCCCAGTAGTCCTTAATAGTAGTGGGTTATCCGCAGAACTGGCAATGTCAGAAGTTGTTGACTTGAGCATTTTACAGCTCCTCATATTTGAATGCCTTTACTTTTTATACCTTGTATTTGTACTTTTCTGTTGGATGATTAAGACCAAGATGAAGCAAGACCAATATAACCAAAAGCATAACTTTTGTGTCTGACAAGGTCAGTCAAATCCCCTCAGAATTTATCCTGAAACTCTGTACAGCAGTTTGTAGATTTTTTGTCAGTGTTAGCCTTGTGGATGAGCCACATCCATTGCTTGACCAATTTGCTTTCTGTGAAAGCCTGAGAGAATGTTTTCTCTCCATGTGACTCTCCTTAGGTATACTCTATGTCTTTGATCACTTTCCTCTTTGGCCCCATAATCTCCTTGAACAGAGAATTTGGACACCACTGAGTTATATGATGTTAGGTTCTCTTACAGGTTCTCCTATGTCGTGAGTCCTCACTGACCTTGAAGAGTTAGGGCCAATATATTGGCTATCCTTATAGCCCTTCTTTTTCTCTAATTTTTTGGCCTGCAAACTTAAGTTGTTAGCCCTCCAGAAGAGAAGCTTAATGATATTATTACCCTACATAGGCATTTGAGCTTAACATCATTATATCTGAATATCAAATGCCTTAGACATAACATGGAACAGGTATTTTCCATCAATCACTGATATGCTAAATTTTAAATCCCTATAGAATGTGAAAAAAAATAGAAATAAACAGTTACACATTTTTACACAGAAACTTATAAATCTAACCATATATAACATTGTAGCAGGACAGTCCTATGACTTTTCTTGTCTCTTGTTTTCTTTTATTATCTTTTTTTAAACATTTACTTGAGACATAGTATAGCAGTAATTGATATGACATTAGAAGCAGTATGCATGTAGAAGACCAGAATGACAGGCATCCCAAGCATGACCCTACCATTACACATTGCTATCCTCAGTGCAGTTGCTTAGTTCACAGATATATAGTTAGTCAGGGTGAGAACCCTACCAATTAACTGCTAGTTTCAAAAACCTGATGGAGATTCTCAGGATCACTGCCTTAACCATCTTGTGTATATAAATGCATGGCTTTGCCCCTGCCATGTTTCCTAGCTTTTCTCCTTGCCCTCTCTTATTGTTTAATCCTCAAATTCTTGCTTTCCACTTAAGTTACACTACTAAACTCAAGCAAAATTTCAACAGTATAAATACTTCTATATGTACTGAAGAGATAGAATCCATACATTAAAATTCTTCAGACAGGGTTGCTAGATCCAGTTGTCATCCCTAGTGAGTTCTAACATTTAGAGAAGAAATGGCATTAGTCTCCAAAGCTTAGAAAATTAAATGAACAATTATAGCAACTCTAATAAGCAAGATCATCAAGACCTCAGAACTTTCAGGCATCCAGGTAGAGTTTAGCTCACTGGATGGAAAACCACCTGGGAGCAAAGAGGACACAAGCTGAACACTGGCTAAGGCAATAAACACTGCTGCGGAGAAGGCAGACTATGATATCCATTTGCATTTTATTTTTTCCTTGTTTCTTTACACACACATTTTTATTTTCAGAATAATTTTTCCTGTCCTCTCTTCTCTCTTTTATATAGGGCAAGTTGGTTGCAATTACCTGGTGACTTGCAGGTCACATGATGTGCAAACAGGACCGTGGCTGCACAGAGTAGGTTTGCTGCTGACCACAGGAGCTGAGGACTCATAGTGAAAGCAAACGAGTCGGAGGAAGGTCCTGGCCCCAATGCTGGATTCTTGACCACTTGGCTTCGTATTCTGTGATACAACCAGAGTGCATGCAGGTCATTCTCTTTCAAGGGTCCACTGGGGCCACTGGATGCTAAAAGTCCAAAGTGGAGATTTGTGTCATCATCACAGGATTGCAGGTGGCATCCACAGCATGAGAGAATGGAGCTGGGAGCAAGCTCCCTCAGGTCACCCAGGGTCACACCCAGAGGCCTCGCATCTGAGTAATTTCTTCTGAACAAAGCGCAGCTCGATGATGTTGCTGGACTGGAGCCTACTAAAGACATCAGAGTTTGATGTGACCAGGATGACACATCACAGATAAGGGAGCGAGCAAGGGGAGCCACAGCACAAGGCAAGTATGAGCCTAAGAACGTGCTTGAAAGCAGCACCTACAATGAATGCTAGAACACAGCCACCACAGAGCTATGTTCTGGCACCCAGGACAGAGCCATCTGTTTGGTGACCTTCGTAAAAGTGGCGTGTTTTCAGATCTTACCGCTCCAACAAGCTCAGCTCCTCCAAGCCCAGAGGTGCTGAAGGATGAAGATCTAAGAGCACCCTCCCTAAATCAAAGGGGAGGGCCAACCCTGGGAAGAACAGGCCAGTCACCAGCACAGGGACATGGGCGGCTCCCCACGTGCTGCCTGAAGTTTCCTTATTTTCTTGGCTCAGCTCAAAAAGCAGCACTTCTCGTCACCTGTCATGAGCAGATTTTCATCTCAACAAGAGGAGATTTTCATGTACTTGGAAAATTCCCATCATGTTACAAAACGTTATGAAATAACAATAGATAGCACATTTCCTTTCTTCCAGAGAAGATCAAGCACTATTTTGACATACATCTTATTTAATCTCCAAACAGCCCCTTGGAGGTATGGGAAGGAGGGAATTAAACACATTGACATGTTACACTCAAAGCTCTTAAGCGGCAAAACATGGAGAACAGAATCCAGGGCCTCAGGCTAGGGTCTTAGTCTTAGGCATTTTTTCCTTCCTTTGTTTTCCTTTCTTTTTCTTTCCATTCTTGTTATCTTCCTTCCCTCTCTCCCCTCAGTCCCCTTCCCCTCCCTCTTCTTTTTTTTTTTCCTCCCCCTCCCTCCTTCTCTCATACTAGTAATTAAATCCAAGGCTGAGGATTGCTCTGGCCTACAGGGTCTTACTAACTTACTTGCTGAGCTTTCCAGGCTAGCCTTGAACCTGCAGCCTTCCTCCCTCAGCCTCACAGAGCACTGGGATCACATGCACCAATAGGTCCTGTTTAGCCTTAGCCTTTCTTTTGTGACTTTTTGAGCCCAGGTCTACCACTAGGAAATTCACTTTGCAATTTAGTCTTCTCTTAAACTAACACTGGCTGACAGTCACTGTGCAACCTTCCAGGTTGGAGGATGTAGGGGACCTCTGGTTGACTGAGGGACACCCATCGCATCCCTCCTGTCTTAAATGGCATCTTAGTCTCTTTGGGATGTGATACTGAAAATACTTTGCATCATAGCAGCTGTCTTAAAAACAAACATTCCATACGAATCTAGTAGTTGTGAAATCCAAGATGAAGGTGCTAACAGATTCAGTGTCTGGGGAGGTCTCTCTTCCTGCTGTGTGGCAAGTGCCTTCTTCCTGTGTCCCTCACAGGACAGAGGATGCAAACAAGTCCCCATGGGCTTCTTTTATAAAGGTACCAATCCCACTCGCTCATCCCCTTCTGACAGCACAAGCTCTTACTATCATCACGCTGAGATTAGGCTTCAACATCTGAATTTGGAGCAATAGAAACCTTCAGATCCCAGGACATGGAGCAAAGCTGCTTGGGGAATTGCCTCTCACTCACTGGGTAGACCTGATGTATGGAAAAGGCTAATCAATGCCCTGTGACAGTGACTGGATTAGGAATAGGCATACGACCAAAGAGAGATTTTTCTAGAGGCTTCTGAGTAAATGCTTTCTTGCTCTTAAGAGAGCAGTAGGAAAGCAGGCACTCCCCTGCCAATTGCTACTGGCAGCCGTCCCATAGGCCTGCGAGGACCTGTCTTGGGCTCAGCTGAGACTGTGTACAGCAGTGTGGAAGATGAACTGGTGCTAAGTCCTCGCTGACATCACTGAACTTTTGGATCCTCTGAAGCTGAAGCCCATCCCTCCTTGCTTTTTTCTCATACATAAACTAAAGGAAACACATGTATATGGATATATGCTAGTTTGAGTTTATTATCCTTTTGCTTACCCTTGATAACATTCTACTGCACAATGATTCAGAGAAATCCTTCCAAAGAACCCTACCTCTCCAGTTCCACATCCTCTTTCCAGCTTCCACAGGACCCAACACTCCCACATCTAATAGTCCAGGCCTTGCCTTAGCACCATCCCCTCACACCACTCATGACCCACAAAACTGATGGTCTATGTCACTAGACATCCAGGTAGTTTGCCTCTGGTCATGTTGGGAAAGAAGAGTTATATGATTTTTAAGTTTTATCCCTGTGTCCATCCCTCAAGCTGTACTTGGGTCTTCTTCCTGCTATATTGTTCTTAGGAAACAGGGAAGAAGACAGGTCTGTATCCCACTGCTCGGGATCCCTCCCATTCTAGTCTCACCTCCTGATTTTCATTCTCATCAAACTTTCCTGTCTCCAGTCTACACAGACCTACTCTCTAGGCTGTGCTGTGTCCGGGTATCCCTGATGTGATGGCATCCTGAGGAAGAGGCTGCAGATGTCCAAAGATGGGCTCACAAAGGAAGGCTTCTTGGCTGAGAAACAAGGGCTACAGTGTGACTGAACCTACCTATTGAGCAAAGGGGGTCTTAGGTCACCAAGCACCATGGAAGCTGAAGTTCCAGGAAGTTGGCGCCAGACCAAAGGATAAGGAAAAGGGTACTCTTGGTAACTGCATAGAGTCCATTCATGGACTGGCTTAGGGGTGGAAACCAGGGTGGCTTTACTTTGGGTATGCAGTAAGTCAAGACTGAATTTATTGGGCGAAGGTCGGAAGCGGGGAGGCGGCTGGGGGCAGTTGTTCAGTGCGGGGGCTGACTGAGGAGGTTCGGTGTCTGAGGCCAGCTAGGCGACTCAGTGTTCCCCTTGTCATTCCAGTTTTCAGGAAGAGCTAAAGATGGCTGAATTTGTAGATGACCAGGATACTCAACTGTGTGACAACTGCAAAAAAGAAATTCCTGTGTTTAACTTTACCATCCATGAGATCCACTGTCAAAGGAACATTGGTATCTGCCCCATCTGCAAGGAGCCATTTCCCAAATCTGACATGGAGATTCACATGGCTACAGAACACTGTCAGGTCACTTGCAAATGTAACAAGAAGTTTGAGAAGATGCACTTAAAGAACCATGAGGAGACTGAGTGCCCTCTGCGGCTTGCTCTCTGCCAGAAGTGTGATTTGGAACTTTCTGTTCTCAAACTGAAGGAACATGAAGATTACTGTGGTGCGCAGACAGAGCTGTGTAGCAGCTGTGGGCACAATGTCCTTGTGAAAGATCTGAAGACTCACCCTGAAGTCTGTGGGAGACGGGAGGAGGAAAAGAGAAATGAGGGTGCGGTACCTCCAAATACATATGAAGAGTCTTGGGGTCAAGGTGGAATCTGGATTGCATCCCAGCTCCTTAGACAAATTGAGGCACTGGACCCACACACAAGGCTACCTCGAAGGCACCTGCAAGCCCTGGAGTCAGACCTTTTCCACAGTAGGACTGCCAACCAAAGGAACATGACAGCGCATTTTCCAGTTGAGAATAATCTATGTACAGCTGACAAGACCATGTTGCCTTGTGAGTTTTGTGAGGAGCTCTACTCAAAGGAACTGCTGATTGACCATCAGACAAGTTGTAACCCTTCACGTGCCTTACCTTTGCTCAGTACTGGAAGCTCTCCCCCGAGGCGAGAGGAGGATCCTGACGTCATCTTCCAGAGCTTCCTGCAGCAGGCTACAAATAATCAGTTGGACTCTTTGATGGGCCTGAGTGACTCAGCCCCTGTGGGAGACAGTATCATCATCCCATGTGAATTTTGTGGGGTACAGCTGGAAGAAGAGGTGCTATTTCATCATCAGGACCAGTGTGACCAACGCCCGGCCACAGCCAGCCACCATGTGATGGAGGGGATTCCTCAGCAGGACTCCCAGCCTCACGCGACCTCACCAGAGCTGCCCAGGAGGCGTGTCAGACACCAGGGAGACCTGTCTTCTGGTTACATGGATGATATCAAGCAGGAAGCAGCTAGAGGCTCCACCAGCAATGCGGCGGAGAACATGACAACCAGCTGTACCCAAATGTCAGATCCCACATCAGCCCCCAGATCTGGTTGCCAGCCCAGCCCTCCCCGGGTGGTGAAGCTCAGCAACTCAGACAGCTAGGGCGCCCGGGGGGCGGAATCGAAACGGCCCCATTGGGGCCCAGGCTGCTGCGCCTGCTCCGGGGATGCACTCCATGCGCAGTCTGTATCCAGAAAGCCTTGTGCCCTCTTTCTCTCGAGGGCCTGTAGGGAGGCATGGAGCCAGTGGTAGGAGTGAAGGTGGCAGGAGCTCCCGAGTCCCCTCTGCAGCCACCAGTTACCGTGGCAGAACTGCAAAGGCCAAGCCCCCAAAGCAGCAGGGAGCTGGGGATGCAGAGGAAGAGGAGGAGGAGGAGGAGTGATGTCTGCGGAGACCCCTCCCCTGGGGCCCTACCTTCTATGCAGAGCAGCACCTGCCGTGGATCAGGCCCCACCTCCCTGGCTCTTTAGGCAGGGTAGATTTTCCAGATTTTAACTTTTTCTAGGTTATGGCCATTTTTTGTGTCTTTTCAGATTGTGTTGTGAAAGTTTGGGGTTTGAGGGAGGGTTAGCACGGAAACTGTTGGGAGCCAACTTTCAGCCTTAGCTGCCACTTCGGGCAGCAGTGATCACACAAGTTCTGGCCTCTGCCCACTGGGGCTCTGCCTTTTGAAATACCATCACCACTGCTTCTGGGTGCTCTGTGGTTCTGGTGGGAGGGAGAAGAGGGTTCTGGAAATCTGTAGCCACCAGTGAAGTGATTGTTTTCCCTGTGGGGGCTACCACGTGGGGCGTCTAGGTGACTCTTCTGTTACTGCTCCTGCCTGCTTCAGACTCCGGGCCCCTGGCGTGTGGAACACCTCTGAAAGTGCTCAGGCCTGTGGCACTGTTAGGGAGGAGGCCTCCAGAGAGGGGTTGGCCGGAGCTGCGTGGACTGGGGGTGTCTGAAGCTGCTTCCTTGTTGTTTGGCGTCACTGTTTCTGTTCCTGGTAGGTATTGTGGCCCCTTTGTTCTCCCTGCCCTCCGTGGAGAGTGAGGGATGCCTGTGCCCGATGGGTCATGCTGGGCTGCAGTCCCATGCTTCCTCTGAAAATCAAGCGTCAGAGCTACTTTCCCCTTTATTTTACTATAATTGCTATCAGCCTCCTTATAATAGAAATAAAATTTGTACTTGGAGTTCAGCTAAGTCTTGTACTTCCTTCTCTGAGCTCTGGAGACTCCAGGGAAGCCAGCAGGGGCAGGAGTGGCCTGGGTTGGGAGGTGCACAGGGTCCTCCAGGGCCCTCTGCCCTGCGGCTCCAGCCTGCAGCGCACAGGACATTGAAGGCACAACGCCCTTATTTCATTTGGACTTTGAAGAAACTGAGCTTGTACAGCTGCAGTCCCTGGAGATAGTCTCCAAGGACCTCAGTCCTGCGAGTAGATGGGCACGGCTGGAAGCCCCCCACCCCCCATGCCTCCTGGTTTGCATAGCACCATCTAGGATCGGGTGTCATTGGCGCTCACATGTGCCAACCCTCTGTTGGGGACAGCACGAGTTCTCCCACTTCTTGGAAGGGCCAGGACTCTGCAAAGAATCGTCCTGGGAAGAGCCAGACCGGAAGGCAATTCCTTCAGTTTTGAGGTTCCTCGTATGTCAGGAGGCACTTACTCCTCACATGTCAGGGAGGCCTTTCTGACAGATGCAGCCAGAGGGTGGACATGCAGGGCTTCTGGTGGCCTGGAAAGCCCTGAGGACTTGGCGGAGAGACCAGGACAGTCGTGACTTCCCCACATCTGCCAGAGAATTCTGTCACCCACCACTGCCTTCAGTATAGTGAGACCTGCCCAGAAGCAACCTTAATTCCTCTCCCCATGTTGAATTAGGTAACT